TGGTCACACAGCACCGAGCTGATGTCCCTGTGCTATGCGGCTGCTTCCCACTAGCTATCTATTTTACGTTTGGTAGTGTATATATGTCCATACCACTCTCTCACTTCGTCCCAGCTTACCCTTCCCCTCCCCGTGTCCTCAAGTCCATTCTCTAGTAGGTCTGTGTCTTTATTCCCATCTTGCCCCTAGGTTTTTCATGACCTTTTTTTTTTTTTAGATCCCATATATATGTGTTAGCATACGGTATTGGTTTGGAGAAACCATTTAAATCAACTCCCTTAGACCACTCCAGAACAGTTTAGGCCCTTTAAAGCAGGGACCCCCAACCCCTGGGTACGGATCCGCCGCCTGTTAGGAGCAGGAGGTGAGCGGCAGGGAAGCGAGCGAAGCCCCATCTGCTGCCCCCCATCGCCCCCATCACCGCCCCATTGCCCCCCATCGCCCCGCATCTCTCCCCATCGCCCCTCCATCGCCCCCCATCGCCCCCCTCATTGCTCCCCATCGCCCCCCATCGCTCCTCATCGCCCCCCATCGCTCGCAGTACCGCCCGAACCATCCCTCCCCCGCCCCCGCCCCCCATCCGTGGAAAAATTGTCTTCCACAAAACCGGTCCCTGGTGTCAGAAAGGTCGGGGACCGCTGATTTAAAGATAGAGGCAGCAAAGTCAGCTCTGATTCAGGTGGTGGGAGTGCTATTTATTTAGCAAGAGTCAAGCAAGATGGGGAAGCACATGACCTCACTTCTGTGCCGTTCTTACAGAATCCCTACAGATAGAGTTAATGCTTTTTATAAATGAGAGAAATAAGGTTTAGTGAAGCTAAGCAGCTTGCATAAATTCACACCCACAGTAAATGACTAGCCAGCCTTCTGATCTAGATCTAATCTAGATCGTCTGATTTCAGATTCCATAGGTTTTCCTAAACGCCGCTCACCTTTGTCTTAACCTTCCCTGAATAAGCACTTCAGAGTGTGGCTTTAGTACTTTGTTTTTAAAGCATATACATCCTTGTGTGCATCCTTGTGTGCAAAAGTTAACACCTGTCCTTCTGAAACTATTCCAAAAAACTGCAGAGGAAGGAACACTTCCAAGCTCATTGTATGAGGCCACCATCACCCTGATACCAAAACCAGACAAAGATTCCACAAAAATAGAAAATTACAGGCCAATATCACTGATGAACATGGACGCAAAAATCCTCAACAAAATACTAGCAAACCAAATCCAACAGTACATTAAAAGGACCAGACACCATGATCAAGAGGGGTTTTTCCCAGGGGTACAAGGATTTTTCAATATCTTCAAATTAATCAGTGTGATACATCACATTAACAAATTGAAGAATAAAAGCCATATGATCTTCTCAATAAAGCATATACCTCCTTGATTTCAAATGTAGGTAGATAGCAAAACTCAGTCTGTTTTTAGTCTTTCACTTTTTTTTCCTTGTGTCACTGCCCTGCTCTGATAGAATAAACACTGGAGAAGGAACAGTGTTGTGGATTAGTTATTCAAGTTCAAGAAAAATTTACTGCAAAGATCATAACTAAATTCTTCTCCTATCAGATTCCTACTATTTTATTTTTTAAATAGCTCGTATTATTCTCTTTCGAGTACGCTAAATTGGACACAGTTATTCAAAAGGGACGTAATACTGGCACATGTAATTGCAAATGAAAAGTACAAGTTTTCATTAAGAAATTCGAGGTGGAAATACAAGTTTTCATTAAGAAATTAGAGATGGCATTATCAGAAGGCAGGGAGCAAGAGGAAGGTGAAACCTTACCTCTACCCAGTTAGGTTTTCCTCTGAGATTCTTTCACATTAACATGTATACCTCATGCACATACGGGAGATACCCAGGGGGAAATGAGCGACCCTCAAAGAGATGGCTTTAGATTTCAGGATTAAATACCACCTCAATAGAGAAAGGGGAGGGGTGTTGTAGGCCTCTTAGGGGAGAGTAAATGATTTTTAGGAAAGATGAATGGACCCTGAGAAGAATAGATGCAAGGTATCTTTGTGACAAAGTTTGGCTGGAGGGATTTATGACAGTTGAGTTCCTTTTGGAGCACTTAGGGAGTTAAAGATAAGCGGAGTTCAGAGAAAACCTCTCCAGCTCAAAATAGTCAATATACCAAAGGGGCATATTTGGAGGTGGCGCGTCCTGAGCCCCTGTAGCCAAACTTCAGGGTGCCACGTTCTGCTACCTTTCACAGCTCAGACTCATTCGCCATCGTATCCCTAGTGCTACTGCCTGGCACGGGATTTTGTAGATGCTCAGAAAACATACATGATATTCAGTGACTGGAGGGATGGATTGATGGATGGGTGGATGGATGGATAGATGGATGGATAGGAGAAAGAACGTTAGCTCCTTCGTTTGTTATGCAAGTAGAATATTAATATGTTATTTAGCTTCCCTTATTTTGTAAAATGTATTTTATTTGTATTTGTAAAATGTATTTTACAGCTTCCTATAGTTTCAAAAGTTTTTTCAAGTTGTAATAACATAGGATTGTCGCTCTGGTCCCTCCAAATAAATGCCTACCTATGTCAGGCTGCTTTACACACTGGGTTAATCTGATCTTCCAAGCTACTTAAAACTACTACACAAGAGTACTAACATTAAATGACTTTTCTGTTTGCAGTGATTATTTGCATCCATTATGTCACTTGCTTTTCAAAACAATGGCCTTTCAAAACAAAGCCCTGACCCTGCCGCTAGACTTCTGAATTTCAAATCTTGGTCTACCACCAAATCACTGTGTGATCTGGGCAAATGATTTAATCCCTCCAAGGATTAGTTTTCACATCTGTAAAACAGGGTTAATAATTATTGTACCCTGTGATAAGATCGTCATAGAAGTTAAATGAGATATGCCGGTAACGTTCTTGGTATGGGGCCTGGCCTGGTCTCGGAAAGACTTCAACAATTCGTTATCATCTTAGAGGTAGTAGTAGTAGTAACAACTGCTTGTTGTTACGTGTCTGCTCTCTGCACTTTCATTTTCTCGAGGGTGAGGACTGTGTTTTGTTCATCTCCACCTCGCCTCCTAACGTAGGGCCTGTCATGGATTAGGTACTCAACAAATGATTATTGGAATGAATGAGGTAGGCAGGTAAATTTTTTTTTAATCGTAAAGTTGTTTTCCAAATGACTGAACTTCAGCTCTGAGAGGTTACTCCCAACCGGTTTTGAGCGGCTGCTATAAATCAGTCACTTAGATTATGTCATTGAGTCTCCAGGAAACTTTATGAAACGTTTTCAAGTGGCGTCCCAGGATGAAAGCCCACATCTTTTTCTTTTTTTTTTTTTTCTTTTGCGGTACGCGGGCCTCTCGCTGTTGTGGCCTCTCCCGTTGCGGAGCACAGGCTCCGGACGCGCAGGCTCAGCGGCCATGGCTCACGTGCCCAGCCACTCCGCGGCATGTGGGATCTTCCCAGACCGGGGCACGAACCCGTGTCCCCTGCATCGGCAGGCAGACTCTCAACCACTGCGCCACCAGGGAAGCCCCAAAGCCCACACCTTTGAATCCCGAGCCCAGAACCATTTCCACTAAACTCTCCTGCCTGTCTTACAAAATATACAAGAATTCTTCCTGGGTCTGTTACTAATATATAACCATTATAGCATTTGGGAAAATAACTTTATGAGTTAGGAAATGAATTGATTATCTAAGTTTTATTTATTTGTTAGATCGCAAAGAAAACTGGACATGAAAATGTTATACTATTCTCAGCACCCTAGGTTTTTGAATTCTAGAGTAAAAAAAACAGGCAACTGAATGTGAATATGATAAAATGAACAAATAAGAAAAGAGGAGTCTGAACAGATAAAGAAAGGGTAGGATAAGTGAGTACTTCACAAATGAAAGCAGATGTATGAAATTACAAGCTGTCAGATAAGCAAAGGAAATGAAAATGATAAAGTGGTTCCTTACATAGATTATAATTATTCATTTTGCCCAGTCCTGTCCCCTTTCTCCATAATGTTCATGGGAAGGGGGATGTTCCCAGCAGAAGAAGGAAAGAAAAACCTAAGAGTCAAGGGTATTTCTGATCACAAAAAAATTATTTTGTGACTTACGTTGTTTCTAGTGAGTCACAGTTGTTTTCCTACGGAATATTTTTCAGCTAACCGTTCTGATTAATGAAAAGGATTCAGTCACAGCCACAGGAAGTTGCAACTGTAAAGTTTGTTCACAATCATGCTGCCGAGGCCGTCAGCCTGGCTTACAAAACAAGAGTCGCTAATGGGCGCAACTGTGACAGCAGTGGCAGATGGATTGCCAAGAAATGAAGTAGTTTACATAGACCTGCCTGAAAAGATGTGTTTAATAATTGCAGCCATAATTAGGTTGATTTGGGGAAAAAAAATTAAATGACGATCCAAGGAGCACAGTTAGGCTAATCTATGAAGATTTTGACACTTTTCTTCCAAGAAATGCTGCATAAATATCTTTCCTAAATTTCTTGTTACCTTTAGGAAAACAAATAATTGGAAGAAATCATATTCTCTTTAATTTTGAACTATGTAATATTTATATATACAAAAAATAAATGTAACATATGTAAGTTGTGAAGCATAGTAATCAGGGTACATAATATTTTATGAGAATTTTAAGCTGGTTCTTTCCCATTCATAAGATTTTTGTTACTAATTTCCAAGCAGCAAAACTAGAGACATTTAAATACAGCCATATAAATGGCAATAAATGTGCATGCTTCTAAGAGTTTGTGTTACAAGCGCACACACAAATCTATATCTGAGGCTCTTCCTTCCAACACCGCCCTGACCATGAGTGCTGGTATATTAGTACAGTGTGCTGCTTCAAAGGCCATTTGGTAACGATCCCCTCTCCCCATTTCCTTTTGTCCAAATCAGTCGAGTTATTGGTTTGCTTTCTTTGAATCTAAGTTGTTAATTTTGTTTCTCTTAGTAATGCAGGTATCTGAAACAGCATTGCTTCTCAATTGCTTTTGTTCCCCTTTTATTTAGTGATCTCTAGTAACTACCAGACCTGTCTTGGCCTTCTGATGCATTACCCACTCATCGGGGATGTTCACTCGCTGATTCTTAAGGCTCTGTTCCTTCGCGATCCCAAGGTAAGCTTTCCATGTGGGATGTGCACAGTTTTAAGTGGGGTGAAAAACTGGTTTCTCTACATGACTCCAAGAATTCCTAATGTAGAATTTGCCTAATAGCAGATGAATTGCCTACAGGCCACAACTCCACATACCTGATGGTCTAGCAGCTCAGCGGGCAAATTCAAAGGACACTGCCCTGAGAAACAGGAGCGCACGTCTCTTGTAACTCAGGAGGTGGTTCTGCCCACCTGCTTCCTCGTAACTCAAGGAAATAGTTGAGCACCTGCTTCTCCTTATAACCACACTTCATGGCGGCGGCCAACTGACCCAGGTATAGCCTTGTGAGCCATGTGAAGACCAAGACATTAGAGCTCTAAAAAGGACCAGTTTTCTAAGAGTTTATGATGCAGTGAGACACTAAATTATTTCATATTATGAACATGTATTTCTTATTTTGCGGGTGAAGAGTAACCTAATAAAATAAAGATTTAAAGAGTCTTTAATGCTGATTTCTCTATTTGAACTTAAAGCAAGTCACCAAAATTTTCTTTACACTCCAGAGAAAAAGTGTGCTCTTTTACAACTAATGTTACATTTCTTGAAAATAAGAACATTTAATGATCTAAAAAAATCTGTGAATCCTTGATGCTTTTGAGCCAAACAAAAATATTGGATGAAGTATAAGAGAGAAAGCTTCAAACACGAGGACTAGGATGCCAGGCGCTGGGTGGTAATCCCAGCCTTTGGCTCTTTGGCAGAGCTCCCAGCAATCGTGTTGGCAGTTGTCGAACTGTCTTTGAGTCAGTCTGTCTGTGGATTCCACTGCCAGAGCTCTGTCTGATCAACGTGGACCTCCAAGTTCAACGTACATTTTGATTCTGAAGGATTTCTGTCCTTTCATCGGTTGTTGACTTCAACATTTGAGCATGTATTTATTCTTTGCTTGATTTAAAATTATTGTTTTCCTGTGCCTATATCCATTTTCTTCAGAAATACACAGTTTTATGTCATTTCTCCTATACAAAATTTCATTAAGTGTCAGAAATACAATCCATCATTTCTCTAATACGTAAGGTAGCATTTTTTTTTCTGGTAAGGCTTAGGAGTCAGACTATGAAAAAAACCTACAGTCTCATATTTACTTTTTTATGTATATGTAGGCTGTATAAGTATATATTTTTAATATGAAATAGTCAAGATTATGGCATATCTATAAAAGGAATAAAGGATGAAGTTTCTGGTCAATGAGGTATCTGAGTTTTGGTCTACAAACTTAAGGTAAATTCTATCTGCTCAGCATTGAGAATTATTAGGGTCATACAGGGTGGGAAAATAATTGCTAAAATAACTGTTTGAATTATCTACTTGTGTGATTTGTTGGGTTTAATTGAAAGGAGAAACGAATATGTTCTCTAAACCTATCCATCTTGGTAAGTTTTTTCCTAGCTAAATATGGTTGATCTTCCTATAAACCATTCACTCTTATGGTTGCAGAATTCTGTATACTAAATTCCTCAGTGTTGTTAGTGGAATCCATAATTTTAATAGAGTACTTTTGACATTAAAAAGATAGTATATGTAATATAGAGAATAATGAAGCCAGTTCTACAAGCATTAAGAAAAATTTTCTCCAAGGTTTAAGAGAAAAAATGTAATAGCATAAGTATCTAAAAAATAGTATTCCCCACTTTTACATTCAGAGTCTTACCAAGTAAAAACAATCAAGATAATTGTCCAAAAGTTAAGACTTTAAACTGGTATTTCTGAGACATGAGCAACTGGGCAGAAGGAGAGAGTCATGTGTAAAAAGCTCCTGAGAACAAGTTCGTGGCATGATGATATCTGTAGGGGAAGATAAGGCAAGCCGCAGAGTACTAAGGGGGTTTCAGACGGCCAATCCAGCAAGGTGGTAGTTTTAGTTAAGTGTATGTAATGGCTGATCCATTGACATTATTAGTAAATGTCAAATGATAACTTAACATCACTTGGCATATCTGCTAATCGGAGATCTATCGCAGTGTGGTGTCCTGGGTCTTGCCAGGAGCCTGAGCTAGGAATCGGGACACTGGGCCACGTCTTGACTCTCCTACCAAATGTCCTTGTGATCTGGGGATTCACGCTTGCTAAGTCTTGGTCTCCTCTTTTGTTGCCTCTAACAACCTACCCAAGCAGAGCAGCCTTTGACCATAAAGAACTGACGTCTAATGATATAATAAGATGCAATCCAGTGCTACAAAGGCACAAAAGGAAAAAAAAGAAGTAAGTTTATATATATCGTAAAAATCCACCAGTGGATAGAGCTTTCAGTGTAGTTCATGTCAACTATAAAGTCATAGAGGAGGCCATGTAAAGAGAGGGAAAGACGATGCTAGTACCCCACCCATAGCCTCTGAGGATCCAGACCTCAGAGTGCTTTAAATGTTTTCTACTTATTAGCAACAATGAAACACTTAAATCAGAGTAAGTATATAAACACACAAGTCTCTATGAAGTGACCTAGTAGGAAGAGATTTGAGGCATGAAAGTTTACTGTCCTGTATCCCAGCTTCACATGGCAGTTGTGCTGAGTGCTGCTGACAGACTCAATAAAATAAAAATGAACAAGGAGTTCTGGGCCTCCCTAAATTCATTGTCAGCCTTCAGAGAAACACTTCGTCCTACCACTATCCCGAAATCCCAGTGGAGACTGCTCAGTTGAGAATAGACTCTGCAGTAGAGCTTGAGACACTGAGCTGTTACTTATTTTCTATCAGATGTCAGCTTTACTGTGAAAAGATTTCTCATTTGAACAGACTGAAATAATGGGCTGGTAAACTGTAATCACAGGATCATACTCGTTCACGTCTCCAAGTACTTTGATATGCTTCCTTTGGTCCTCACTACAAGCTCCGAGACAGCAGAGCGGGTTATCTTTCCTCCTTCTTTTTCAGTGCAGAGGCCATGTGGCTTTCCCAAGTCCGAAACGCTTGTAAGCTTCCAAACTAGCTGGAATGGTTCCATGACCCTTGTTTCTACTCATCCCCTCCTGAGGTTCCCAGCCTCTGAAGAAGACAATGGTAGCGTTGAATGCTGACTTAAGCACTGCGCCGCTTCTAATACTGACTCTAATCCAGGTGGATCTCACTCACCTTACATATTTCTGGAACCCATATCCACATTCCACAGAAACCATAGCCAATGGTATATTTGTCAGCTGCCATTTTTATCAAGATGGTGAAGTGACCCTACAACTTGAACTGAAAGGGCATCTAGTTCCTTAATTTAATATCGATCAGAATTATTTGAAAACCTGTTATCACCTTCAAATATTATGGAACAAAGAAGATACAACAAAGGATCTAAGTAATATACTTCAGGGCTTCCCAGGTGGTGCAGTGGTTGAGAGTCCACCTGCCGATGCAGGGGACACGGGTTCGTGCCCCGGTCCGGGAAGATCCCACATGCTGCGGAGCGGCTGGGCCCGTGAGCCATGGCCGCTGAGCCTGTGCGTCCGGAGCCTGTGCTGCGCAACGGGAGAGGCCACAGCAGTGAGAGGCCCGCGTATCGCAAAAAAATAATAAATAAATAATATACTTCACTTAGACTGTGCAAATTTCAGAACTGCCAAGAACCAAGAGAGTCTAATTCCGCTCCTCGTTCTGTAATATGAACAAACTGAGGATCCAGGTATTCGAGAGACTTTTTCAAGGTCACACAGCTTGTCAGTGGCAGAGCTAGCCGTTGAACCAAGGTCTTCCAGCCACCCTTCCACACAAGAGCTGTAGCTTCGTTAGTTTTAAAAATAGTGGAATCCTAGTTACTGATATTTCTCATACAAATTCTTTTATTTGTAGTAGATATTTATTTGCATCTGTAATAAATGAAAGTGCCACGTATATAAGTGACCCAAGAACTACTTGAAATGTTTGTAAATGTATGCTGTCTGAAGAGACTGGATATCAAATATCTGTAGCATTCTATACTCTGTTCACCTTATGATATAGTTTCTATACTTAGCTCTTCAGACCACAATCCTGATTCTCGTTTTCCTTTTATTATATTAGAATCACTGAGCAGATTTCCAAAAACAATCCACTAAACGAAGTAGAGGAGTGGAAGGATGACAGTCTGAAAAATATGAAGTGATTAAAAAACATTGTTCTAACTAGTTGTTCAAATTCCAAAAAAAAATTTAAAACCCAATTAGAAACAAAAGTCATAGAAAATGTGAACATATTGTGTTCCTTAAATAACCAGATGTTCTCTCCTTCCTGAAGGCAGTAAGGGCTAGGAATAAAAGGTTTAAAACTATTGTTTTAAGTTAACTGTGAATTTTGCAAATCTGTTTTTTACCCTTCAGCAAATAGAATTCTAATACAGAAACATAAGCAAAGTAATTTTCATTTTTCGGTCCTCTCTTATTTGTGTTGTATATTGAAGTGTTAACCTTATCACAAAGACTTATTACAAATGAAATACAGTACATGAATTAACATTGTAGATTATTCAGTAAGAATTTGACAGCTACCGTTTGTTTTGAAGACTAGAATAGTCCCCCAATATTATCTTTCTGGTTAAGTTTGTAAGCATCCCTGTTATTGTTTATGGGAGAAAATTGCTAGAAATAAGACAATTTAATTTTATAGTCATTCTTGTATACAGAAGCACAAAATATATATACTATAAAATAAATATAAATATATATATATAAAATACAGTGTACAGTGTTCTTGTGCTTGGCCAATTCTGATTTGGCTTTTGTTCGGAGTTATGTTAAATATTGCTTTTTTAAATTATAACGTCTGAATATCCAGATTTCATGCAGGTAATGGATTTTTATTCTTTAATTCCAAAAACCCTCACTGTACATGCAACTTTTTAATGTCAGGTGGCTTTAGTAAAATGTCACATATCAGAATTGAAAAGTGGTGAGTGGATTCAAGCCAGGTGATGATGTTAGAAAATGCTTCATTCCAGAAATGCCATTATAATGTCATCTTCTCTGAGCAGTGAAGGACCTAAAATCACACACACTGACT